TTTCTTGTGGAAAGAATATTGGAAGGATGGCCTCACAGCAGCAGGCTGTGTCTTGCTCTATGTTTGTTTATCATTATATGCAGATATTTTAATAATAATAATAATAATAATAATAATAATAATAATGTAGACTGGAAACCCTGCACAAAGCATAATTCTGTTGTCCTTCTCACCATTTCACCTGGAGTCATTATCCCGCATTTTAAATGCCTATATAGGGGTTTTGTCTCACTTTAACTTACTTTCAAAATCATAATGTGGATAAAATGAGACAACCCCAGAATTGTGTTCCCATAGAAATTATGGGATACTAATGTGATTCATATCGCTGGATGCAACCTGGCTCAAGAGACTTGCATATCAGTAGTGAATCCATGGACTTGAGAGCAATCTATCACATCTGGAAAAGAAGCAGAACGAAAGAATGATGTGGTAAATCCTTTTTCCCCTTCACCATCCCACTAATACATCTCCCACTATTCAATATTCACAGAATATCGGTTAAATTGGTTTGTTTTTTTGTGGGGGTAGCCTTCCTCATCCTCTCCTATAGACAGTAGTCAACACATCTGGAAGATGCTAGAGTGCAGAAGCTCACTTTAGTGTGTAGAAACACTCTGAGAAACTGCAAGTCACTTCTGGTATGAGAGAATTGGCTATCTGCAAGGATGTTGCCCAGGGGAAGTCCGGATGCTTTACCATCCTGTGGGAGGCTTCTCTCATGTCTCCGCATGGGAAGCTGGAGCTGACAGGCGGGATCTCACCCTGCTCCTCAGATTTGAACCGCCAACCTTTAGGTCAGCAGTCCTGCTGGCACAAAGGCTTAACCCATTGCACCACTGGGGGCTCTGAGAATTTATGGATTGCTATATATAATAACTTGCCACAGACATGGATATAGTACAAACATTTTTATCCTGACATGTCCTCTCTTTTAATGTACCCAGGTGAAACAGAGTTTCAAAAAGTTATATTTTTGAAGTACCCTTCCCAGACAACCCTTTCCCCTTCAGCCTGCATCCATCACCAAGAGGCTTTTAGGAAAGAAAAATCAGTTGTCCAAACTCTTAATTAATCAAGAGTTAAAGTGGAATGAGTAGATAGCAATAAAAGTGACTGCATACAGCATCTTGGAGGAAGTGTTAGTAATTGATTGACCTGGGCAGCATAAACTTTTGCTTTCACTAGTAATAATATGAACATTCATTTCCTTTAAACTAGTAGCAAGTAAATGGTAGGTAGGATAAGGCACACAATATAAAAACAGCAGGGGCGGGGAGGGGATTCCAAAGGGATTGTTGACTTTGATTGAAATGCAAGGCAGGGGCATTGGAGAGGGGGACTATTCACTCTGCCTGCTTCCAGGGCTGGCTGCTCTGGGGCAAGCCCATCATCTGAAAGAGGCCTTTGTGTGGCGCTCCCTCGGGCCTCTTGTCTTGCATGCCAGCAGGTAGCAATTGTTAAGAGCCACTGAGCGGGGTCAGAGTGGAAAGAGGCAGAAATGGCTTCTGTTGTCACAGAGAGCAGGAATCTTCAGAGGTCTTGTCTCTGGCAACAATGCTGCAACCCTGGCTAGCCTTGCCTGGCTTTGCCAACTTCAAAAGGATCTTGGGCTCATTGTTAGCTTTTTCTGGGTGGGTACCATTTCTATGTCATAAGTGGAGTAGCTTAACAGAATGGAAGACATCTTAAAATAAGAAAGGGGCACAGGGTTTAACTGTTTCTGTCCACCATCTTCAAGTGAGAAATGTTATACCCAAATCAGGGATTAGCAATCTGTTTAGCCCAAATAATGCTGTAGAAATGCTGAATGAGGTTGAAGGTCATAGATTTTGTGATCCTCCACCAGTCATGCTTGCTGCACTGGGAAGTAATTTCACCAAGCACCCATCTAGGTGCCTCTGATAGACCTGACAAACGTCAGCGTGCTGGAAGAAGCAAAGACCACCAGCATTGAAGCGATGGTCCTCCGCCATCAATTCCGCTGGACCGGCCACTTTGTCCAGATGCCCAACCACCGTCTCCCAAAGCAGTTGCTCTACTCCGAACTCAGGAACGAAAAACGGAATGTTGGTGGACAGGAAAAGAGATTTAAAGCCAACCTTAAAAACTGTGGCATAGACACTGAGAATTGGGAAGCCCTGGCCCTTGACCGCTCCATCTGGGGGTCAGCTGTGACCAGCAGTGCTGAAGAATTTGAAGAGGCACGAATGGAGGGCAAAAGGTAGAAGTGTGCCAAGAGGAAGGCACGTCAAGCCAACCCCGACCGAGACCGCCTCCCACCTGGAAACCAATGCCCTTACTGCGGAAGAAGATGCAGAGCAAGAATAGGGCTCCACAGTCATATACAGACCCACAAGAACACTGGAAGACAATCCTCCTCGGAAAATGAGGGATCGCCTAAGTAAGTAAGAGGATAGACCATAAGGGAACAATGACAGTACATCTAAACAAAGGGAATATATGAAGGTGTTATCTGCTTAAGTATCAAAATTGGATAGACATTTTGTTTTATAAAATATTTAAGCTGTTTACAATAAAACAGAGCCCCAGGTAGCGCAGTGTGTTCAACCACTGAGCTGCTAAACTTGTTGACCGAAAGGTCACAGGTTCAAATCCAGGGGGCTGCGTGGTGGGAAGATTATGGCCGCATGACCTAGGAGGAGTCTACGGACAAGGCTGGCTCTTCAGGTTAGAAATGGAGATGAGCACCAAACTCCAGAGTCGGGCACGACTGGACTTAATGTCAGGGGAAAACCTTTACTTTACTTTACAATAAAACAGATATATTAAAACAAATTGCTAAAGGCAACCCAGTAATAAAAAGAGTTAAATTAATTTACATACTTATTTATTGAAGTTTGGTGTGACATCAGTAATAGGAAAAGAATATGGGAAAAGTCCAGCTGGATGCCAACACAGCCAGGTGTGTTCTGACCATGGATTTAACTGCCAGTGTAGATTTGCCCACAGTTGTTGTTTATTCGTTCAGTCGCTTCCGATTCTTCATGACCTCATGGACCAGCCCATGCCAGAGGTCCCTGTTGGCCGTCACTACCTCTAGCTCCTTCAAAGTCAAGTCAGTCACTTCAAGGATACCATCCATCCATTTTGCCCTTGATCGGCCCCTCTTCCTTTTTCCTTCCAAGCTTTTCTGACTTCTCATTATGTGGCCAAAGTACTTCATCTTTGCCTCTAACATCCTTCCCTCCAGTGAGCAGTTGGGCATTATTTCCCAGAGTATGGACTGGGGCTCCCGGGGGCAATGGTAACTGTAGCATTAACAATAATGGAGTCAAAGGAGATGGTTAACTGTAAAAATTAATGCAATCCCATTCTGTGCAAGTTCAACTATACAATCTCACACTGAATTGTATTTATTTCTAGTGGAAGTTCTGGTTAAGGGCTTGGAAACGTTGCAATTTGCCCATCCTGAAACTTCATCAGTTTAGAAACGTTGTGTTTTTGGACTTTGTTATTGTTGTTGTGCATCTGGGGCCTTATCACACTTGAGCATTTTCCCACTTCAATCCACTTTAAAGGAGGCAGTCACTGCAGAATTCTGGGTTTTGTATCTTAGGGAGGAACCTTTAAACTGCTCATCCTGATCTGCTCTGGGCCTCCCTGTGCCGTCGCGCCTGGGGGCAATTATTCTCAATAAAGGAGGGATGGACGTGGCATCTTTCCCCCAGGGGATTGCTTCTTGCCCTCCTATAGGAAACTGGAACTCCAAAAAACCCAAAACGCTGTAAATAGCTCAAAATAAGTTTTATTTATCACAAAGTCATTTCTTCAAAGCAATGAGCTGGAAAACTTTAGAGGGGTGAAGGAAAACATACATTACAGTCTCAATTAGTCCTGGGTCCAAGGGGTTTGAAGCTGAGGAGCCTCACCAAGTTTCCTCTTTCCTCAATGGCTGTGAATGCCACAACCCCAGTTCAGATGAGCTATGTTTTGAAGACTCAGGATCTTCCTCTAGTGCCAAAAGAACCGGCTTGAAGGCGCTTGGGATCTCCTCAATGTTATCCAGGACGATCTGGACATAAAGCATGAGTCCCAAGGGTAAAAAATCTCAGAACTGATGCTAAGAGGTAACTTAAATCAGGAAGTCTACTCTCACTTAGGGCAACCACTCACAGGTCTTTTTTGGTAGGAATTATTCAGAGGCAGTTTATCCTTGTCTTCCTCTGAGATTGAGAGAGCGTGACTTGTCCAAGGTTGCCCAGCGGGTTCCCATGGCTGTGCAGGGAGTTAAACTTTGGTCTCCCAGGTGCCCAGTCCAGGACTCAAAGCACAATACCACATTGTCTCACTGTTTCCACTTGTTCTTCTTACCCCACTTTCCTCACTCTCCTAGCCTTACTTAATTAGGTAATCCCTCGTTGTCCAAGTATGATGGCCTTCCAAGTGTAGGGTCCTGGTGGTGGATTCGTAGCTGACTGTGGAGCCCTATTCTTGATCCACATGTTCTTCCACAGTAAGGACATCATATCAGTTCCCATGTGGAAGGCAGTCCCAGTCAGCGTTGGCTTGACATGCCTTCCTCTTGGCTTGTTTCTACCTTTCACCCTCCATTTGTGCCTCTTCAAATTCCACAGCACTGCTGGTCACAGCTGACATCCAGTTAGAGAGCTCAAGGGCCAAGGCTTCCCAATTCTTGGTGTCTATGCCACAGTTTTTAAGATTAGCTTTAAGCCCATCTTCAAATCTGTTTTTCTCTTGCCAACATTCCATTTCCCATTCTTGAGTTGGGAGTATAGTAACTGCTTTGGGAGACGGTGATGAGTTGGCCAATGTGGCCAGTCCAGTGGAGTTGATGGTGTAGGAGCATTACTTCTATGCTGGTGATCTTTGCTTCTTCCTGCATGTTGACATTTGTCTCCCTCTCTTCCCAAGAGATTTGCAGGATTTTCCTCAGGCAATGCTGATGCAATCATTCCAGGAATTGAGTGTGACGTCTGTAGGCATGTAACAGGGTTGGGAAGACAATCAATTTATAAACAAGCACTTGGTATCGCTACGGATGTCCTGATCCTCTTTTAGCCAGCCTGAACATTGCCTGTGCTTGCAGGGAGCCATGACCACAGAATGACCACAGGGATCCAAAACCACAGAATTCTGGGTCTTGTAGTTTAGTGAGGCCCAAGACCTCAGTGACTGAGAATTTTAAAGGCCTCTCCCTGAACTACAAGCCCCAGAAATCTGCAGGATTTCAAGTGGGATGCTCATCGTGTAGCATGATGAGGCACTATTGCTCAAAGCCCATTGCAGGCACTTAGCTCTGGCCATCACCTGTCCCTTTCCAGCAGTTTCCTAGGAAGAGAAAGAAAAGGAGTGAGTCCAGCCCATTTTGCTATCACTTGTTTGAGCTCTTTCCACTGTAAGTATATGTCTCGGTTGTTTTAAAACAAATATTGCCTTACCTCTGTTCCTGTTCCTCTTTTTTCTTTTTCTTCAGCATGACCAATGAAGCAGCATCTTAATCACAAAGGCGATCCAATCATTGGTTTTAGAGCCAGGCTTCTGATGCAGGAACTTAAACTGGTTGGTTAAGCTTGTTCTTTATTATGAGAATGTTTTCCTAACACCAGTCAAACTGCCTATATGTTTGTAAGTGGATTCCACCTTTTTGTGTGTGAAAAGGCCCTGTTGATGTGCTGAGCTTTGGATTCAAGAAAGGACAAGACTGCAGTAAGTAACCAATTTGGCTATTTTTCTGTCAGGTTTTCTTTTACTATTTGTATTCCACCAGAGTGTTGTTTCTATAAATGCACAATTCTTCTTCCTGAGCCACTTTCCCCCAAAGTATGTTGCCACTGGATCAGATTCTCACCTGCAAGAATGTGGAACAAACATGAGGAAGAAGTAACAGTAAAAATCATAAGATTATGGGGGGAAAGGTTCAGTGAAGTGGTGACTGTCCTCCTCCTTTAGCATATGTGATTTGTAGGTATTGTGTTGACCTGTACATTAAAGTTTGAGGAAATCTGGACTTCCAGTCTAAGTAGTTCAACTCTTGCCACTTAAGCCTCCAGAATCTCTGAGGTCCCATCTGAATGCAAGTTAGCTAATTGAAGTGGATTATATGGCAGTGTAGACAAATACAATCCAGGGTGATCGTATGATAGCTGGTACTGAGGCCTCATGGCTACGGTGTTTCCCCAACAGCGGTTGTGAATAAGGGAAGGGAACACGTGTCCGATCACGTGGTCGCACAGGGGGCAGAGTGAGAGGGGGTGGAGTGAGACACAGAGGCACTTTGACTTAGAAGGTAGTGTGTTGTTGGCTTAGAAGGAAGAATAGAAAGAAGGGGGGGGGGAAACGAGGAGTGTTGTAAGTTTGTGGGGAGCCTGGATGGGGCTACCGTCTCCTCCCATCAGTGTTACGTGTTTCCCAAACCACTGTTTATCACTTCTCAATAAAGAACTACAATTCGTTCACTGTTACAGTTAGTCCGGAGTCAGGATGTGGGTTACCGTCTCCCCACTTCAGTCTTATGTGTTACCCAAACTTTTGTTTATCACTTCTCAATAAAGAACTAAAATCCATTCAGTGTTATCCCTGTGTGTTCACTGGTATACTTCCGTGGATTCTGTGGTGGTTTCTGTGTCCTGTATCGGCTACATTACTGGTATCCTTCCGCCCCTCCATTCTGCAAACAGCATTTCCAAAGCGGCGCTCTGGAAACAGTGTTGCACCATGAGGGCTGACTACCAGCTATCATACTATCACCCAATCCAGTTCAAAGCAGTTAATCTGCATTCTGAAACTGGATTATATGGCAGTGTAGATGGGACCTTAATAGATAGGAGGTTCTGTGAAATGTAATCCAAAGAAATAATTTTCCTACTTTGTAATAATGTTATACTTTAGCAATAAGCCCTACGGGCTTTGTTGCATGTGTATATGATAAATGTTGCAATCCCATAAAGGTTCTATGTATGTAATTTCCTGAAACTGGAAATCATCTTTCATCATATCTGGGCACTTTAAAATTGTTTTTTCCTCCAGGGTAGGGGGGCTAAAATAGCATTTGAACACACCAGATCAGTGATTCCCACTCCAGGTGTTTTGGACTTCAACTCCCAGCAGCCCCAGCCCCTTTGGTCAATGATTAGAGATTCTGGGAGCTGACATCCAAAACACCTGGAGGATCAGAGTTTTGGAATTTTTAAATAATATTTTTGTAGCTATCTTTATTAATTTTGGAATTTCTTTGAGATTCTGTCACGTCCCACGGGCCACCGTGGGCTACTAAGAGCCACATAAGGCCCACACAAATCTCTCCCATCTGAAATGTTTTGGTTTCTTGTGGAGAATATGTTTTTGAAAAGAGCGTTGTTATTAGACCTCATCCAACACCTCCTGTGTTGAAAAGAATCGTTATATTTATTTTAACAAATATTTGCATTTGTTTCTGTTTTCTAGGTGTACCCCTCAAACAATGACTCAGATCACTCAAATGGGCTGGCAAGTGATCCTCATTTTCAGTTGGGTTTCTCTTTGCTTTCCCCTACCAATTCTAAAGGACAGAGACTCCCTAATAGAAGAGGAGAATGCCCGTCGTACAGGTGGCAACCTAGTGCTCGGAAAAACAGAAGTGGAAGCCAACAAAAAGCTGATGCAGCTCAAGAAAATGGAAGTGGCTAAAGCTATGCAGACAGGGCTGTTTCCACCCAGCATGCATTTCTTCAAAGCTAAACCCCTCATTGATCAAAGTGCTGTGTTCAGCATCTTAAAAAAGATGCCAAAAGGTAAGGATTCCAACTGGGCCTGCTCTGCCATGTCTATACATGGAAAAAAGGGAGAATGGTCCAACCTGCTAGGTGTACTTTATAAACCTATTATGGATATTATGGATGTTGTTTCATTTCAGCCATATAACCCTCAGATAAACATAGTTCAGTAGAGTCATACAACTCCCCCCTTGCTTTGCTTTGTTTATGATGGGATCTTACAAGGTTTTGCAAAAGATTCTAAGACAGTGGTACTCAACCTTCGGCAAAAGTATGATAGTTGGGACCCTAGGCTGGTGGCGCACTGCGGGTCAGAATTCATGAAGGGAATACGTGCATGAGACAGCGCAGCGAGTGAGAGACACAGGGGGCCTACGACTCACACGCCCCGCACTCCTGGAGTCCCGGCTCCTCCACTGTCAGAAAGCGGGCGAGGGAAAGCACAAGAAGAGGGGAAGGGATCCAGTTCTTGCCGCTCTGTTCTCACTAGGGCTTTGTAAAACATTCCCTGGTTGCCAGCACAATTTCAGCCCTTTGACGAAAGCAGCCCCAGCAGCTGGGAGCAGTCCAAACAGACTTCCCTTCATTAATTCTGACGCATGTTGCACAACCAGTGTACGGGTTCCAGCTATGCATAGGGTCCCAGCTATCATACTTTGCCCAACCTTCCTCATGCTGTGACCCCTTAATGCAGTTCCTCATGTTGTGGTGACCCCCAACAATAAAATTATTGTTGTTGCTAATTCATAACTGTAATTTTGCTAAGGTTATGAATCGTAATGGAAAGATTTGATATGCAATATGCATTTTAATTAATTGGACCAAATATGGCACAAATACCTAATACACCCTAATTTAGATACTGGTGGGATTGGGGGGGGGGGGATTGATTTTGTCATTTTGTAGTTACTGGGATCTATAATTCACCTACAATCAAAAAGCATTCAGAACCCCCGTGACCAACAGAAAATCCTAGGTTTGGTGGGCATTGACCTTGAGTTTAGGAGTTGTTGTTCACCTACATCCAGAGAGCACTGTAGACTCAAACAGTGATAGATCTGGACTAAACTTGGCAGGAATACTCAATGTGAACACTGGTGGAGTTTGGGGGAAATAGACTTTGACATTTGGGAGTTGTAGTTGCTGGGATTTATAGTTCACCTACAGTCAAAGAGCATTCTTAACCCCACCAACGATAGACTTGGGCCAAACTTCCCACACAGAATCCCCATGGCTTGAAGGGACTCACTAGCATGACCCTCCTTCCAGCCTCGCATGCTCTCCCTTGCCCACACATGCATACCACGCTGCCATGCGGCAAGCATGCCTACTCTCCCCTCCCTAGTTGGAGTCTCAAAAACAGCTCTCCCCTTGGCTGAGAGGCTGCCCAATCACAGCGGAGGAAGGTTTTTGGTGGGAGGATTCGCCTTCTGCTTCCAAAAAGGAAGAGGACAGGTGGAGAGATCTTCAGCCTTCTCTGCCAAAGGAGTTGCTATGACCATTAGAAATATATGTTTTCTGATGGTCTTTGGCGGCACCTCTGGAACTCCCTCGTGACCCCCACAGGAGTCCTGACCCCCAGGTTGAGAAACACTGTTCTAAGACACATCAAGATCAAAATGAAACCCAAGGGAAAATAACAAACATTCGGAGGGGGGTGTTTTTTGTGCTGAAAGAGCACAATTTCCATTCAGTTAGATAAAAATGAACTCCTAACAACTTTTTTCAATTTAACATAACCGAATTAACTAATTTAAATCAAAACACATAGTAAAGTTGTTGGTGGGTCATTTTTGTCTAATGTAAATAAATGTGTACAAGTTACCTATCATGGTCATGCAAAAAACGTTATCAAAGTTGTTTGTTTACCTGGTGTGATAGGAACTGTAGTTGAAAAGATGTGAAGGACACTCTGTTAAGGAAAGCAAACTTAGCAGGATGGTGGGCTGCATTTGGAGCAGTCTATGCAAGAAAAATGTCTCAATGTCTACTGGCAAATTTCCATTTAAGAATCAGTGTGTGCAGAGCTCTGATTAAGATGTATCAGCTCCACTTGGTTTTGGTAATTGAAGTTGAATGGATTCTGGCTTTTTCTTCGTATTATCGCCTGTTTGAAAGCTGTTACTTAGTACTCTGCAAAATGTAGAACAATTCATTCTGAAGAGCATTTGAGAAAATGAAAGAGTCATGTGTTAACAGAGATAGTGTGAATGTCTTACCTTTATACTTCTGTATAGATAGTTTAAATAGATATAGATTCATGCTGTTTACACAGCCTGCCCAGTGGATTCTCACCCAAAGATCAACTCAGGTTAATATCTGTTACTGGATTACTACAATCCCACTTGCTTGCAGAATGTCTATTGGAGTTGCATAAATTAGGTGTCTCAATTAGTGCTTGTTTTCCAGGCTCTGGATTTGTGTTGCCGAGGTTATTCCAGGTTTTGAGATGTTTTGAATGTATGCTAGAGGGAAGTGGTTCTCTTGGTAATCCCTATATATAGTCTTGTGCAACAGTTAGTAGTTAGTAGAACAAGAGAAGTCAGATGGAACTGTATTTCAACACTTAATCCATGGCGTGTGAACCATTTTCTCAATTTTGTCTGGCTCATCTAATCACAGCCATTGATTTAATCATTGATACAGCTTTGGGACATGAGAGAAACCTCCCACAAGGATGGTAAAACATCAAAACATCCGGGCATCCCCTGGGCAACGTCCTTGCAGACGGCCAATTCTCTCACACCAGAGGCGACTTGCAGTTTCTCAAGTCGCTCCTCACACACACACACACACACAGCTTTGGATTTCTATCTTCTGTTCTCTTTCTCCATATACTGTTCAAACAATTCAAACCCTGTTTCTTCCTGTTTTTTCTACCTCCACAGGTGGTGCTTTACACTTGCATGACTATGCTATCCTGAGTGTCAACTGGCTAGTGTACAATGCCAGCTATCTGCCTCATTGTTACATTTCTTTCTGCTCTTCGTGGACTGTCCAGTTCAAGTTCTCCAGTCCTCTTCCTCCCATGGAGGTGCCACCGGGTTGTGCGGAATGGGTGCTACTAGAGACCTATCGCAAGAATCTGAATAATGTGACTCAGTTTGATAATAGGTAGGTGAAAGTCTGCCTCATGCATGAATTGTGTTGCTGCATGGCTTCTTGGAAACAGTAGATGTTACAGATAGAATATGTGTATCATACATATACTATATCTAAGCACAATTTGTTCATCAGGAAGTCATACCATGCTCACACTGGAGGGAATGCCATGCTGAAATATATTAATTACACGGTACGTAACAGTACTGTAATGTTTTTCCTGCTGCTCTCATTATTCTTACGGCAATCCATTAATGTCGGTCAATGCTGCAGGTGTCGGGTGACAGGCAGAAGAAAAGGTTATCTTGCCAAGAAAACTCCATGATAGGATGTCCTTAGGGTAGCTATAAGTCAGAAATGACTTGAAAGCACCTAGGAATGGTAGCACCACCAGGGACACAAAAGGAAAAGGCATAATGTGCGCAGCTTGTTTCAGGCTACTTAGTCAACCAGTTGGGAGCCAGCTTGGTGTAGTGGTTTAAGCATTGGGTGATGACTCCAGAACCAGGTGCAAATCATGGTTTCTGGAGTCATCACCAAATGCGAAAACCACTACATCACTACTCCTGGTTTTAAAAGTTGTTATGTTACTGTAAATGTTTATTGCTTATTTTTTGTTATGAGTTTTATTTTATTGTTTATATTACTGTTGTTATTGTTTTTATTACTGATGTATTGTGGGCTCGGCCTCGAGTCCCTTAGGGAGATGGTAGTGGGGTATAAATAAAGTTTTATTATGTTGTTATTATTATTATTATTATTATTATTATTATTATTATTATTAAATCCTCACTCTACCAAGCCTACCTACTGACCGACTTTGAGCAAATCTCTCTATCAGCTCAGAGGAAGGCAAGTTCCTGCCAAACAGCAACTTGAAGGCACACAACAAAGTGAATCAATACCTAAAGAGAGAGGTTTGAACAAGTCATTTTCAAGTCTTACCATACAAAATATTAATCACTCTACTAGCCTTTTAGTTCTATGCAGTTACAACATAGTTCACCTTCAGAAGAATCTATGAAAGAAAGAAAAAGAACAATTACAGTACAATAACAAGACCAACTGTGTCTTCCATTATGGAGACCAAGGTAACTGCCTCAGGTTGTAGATCTGATGAGATGGTGTCATTCAAATTATATGTGACCTGTAGCCTGCCTAGGTCCTCAGGAATAATTGCCTCTTAGTTATCAGTGGGTTAAGCTGCTGAGCTGCTGAACTTGATGATTGAAAGGTTGATGGTTCGAATCCAGGGAGTGGGGTCAGCTCCTGCTGTTAGCCCAGCTTCTGCCAACCTAGCAGCTTGAAAACATGCAGATGTGAGTAGATCAATAGGTACTGCTTCGGTGGGAAGGTAACAGCACTCCATCAGTCATGCTAGTCACATGACCTTGGAGGTGTCTATGGACGCTGGTTCTTCAGCTTAGAAATGGAGATGAGTACCGCTCCCCAGAGTTGGACACAACTAGATTTAATGTCAAGGGAAACCTTTACCTATACTTTATCAAAAATAAGATGCAGTTGCCAATCTGTTCAACGTGAAATGGGAATATGCATGGAATAGAAAAAGGGTGCTGTCTTGATAATGTCTTCTGCCAGTTCAGATGCCAGAGATGGAAAAAGATGGGAAGCCTTTACCTCTGCTTATGTACAGTCCATCTCTGTTAATTGTATAACAGCATTGAATTTTTGCCATATATGTGTACTGTAATCCGCCCTGAGTCCCTTCAGGGAGATAGATCGGAATATAAATAAAGTATATTATTATATTATCCTGTGCAGTAGATTGGTCAGACATGGACCGAGGAGACAGTATGTTCAGGGTCTACACATGTGATATCTTAGCCCATTGACGTCCAAGAGAATTGCGTTCAGTTAACCACATTCAGTACTAATGCGTAAAAATAGATCTGATTGGTAGATGTACAGTATTTGCTTTACATGTGGGTTACATGTGCCCCCCTCTGGAATCTGTTGCCTATGGCATTTGTTTATTAAGCAGTGTGTGTGGGCCTTCAATAAACCCCAACTGCTAGGGATCCTAACCTGAGGTATATTAAAAATATGTGATGTGGCATCAGAGTTCCCACAGGAGAGAATGCTTCGAGAGCATGGCCATATAGCCCAAAAAACCCGCAACCCCAGTGATTCCAGCCATGGAAGCCTTCGACAATACAAAATTCCCACAATTAAATTCTACATGTATATGTGATCAAGTTACCAATTTATGGCAATCCATAAATTCCAAAAGACTTTTTAAGGCAAGGAATATTTACAAGTTCATTCCTCTGAAATACAGTCCATGGCACCTAGCATTTGTTAGTGGTCTCCCATCCAAATAGGAACCAAAGCTCACCCTGCTTAACTGTCAAGATCAGATAGGATCTGGTGCCTTTTGGGTATTTAGCAGTAGTGCCCAATTTTAATTTGACAAAGCGGGACAAATGCTACTTTTGTCTTCCCTTTTGTCTTTTCCTAATTATGTAAACTGAAAGCGGAGAGAATCAAGGGTGTTTGGCTTTGCAAGAATGTTAGTCTGTGAACACTGCAGACCCTCAGAGGTTGCCACCGAAATGAGTGCTTAGAATATATTTGTGTGCTTCAGCCCTGAGGCTGCAGACAGAGATTTGGTCCAGTTAATGACAATGCGACTAACTTGGAATAAACACATGGATAAGATCGAGCTGCCCAGGGCTTTTGTGAAAAGAGTCCAGGGAGGCCAGTCCTTCCCTCCCCCTTCTCACAAGATCTCCTCAAGTCCCCCTGCTGAGCTGCAGGAGATGCTATCATTTAAAATTCCCATTCTTTGGCTGGCTTTTATACTTTAGATAAGTTAGCAAAAGATGCCTTTGGCGCTTCATTCATTTCTGGTTTCTAGGGTGATGCTTGCTATGTAAGCAGTTTTTCCCAGATTAGGGCTAAGATGCCAGTTCCTACCACACATAAACCAGTAGAAAATGCTGCTGTGTGTGTCCTCCTCTAGCTATGGTTCATTTCCTTTCCATTATGTTGCATTGTTTATGGAGTAGTTTCTTGCATTGCCTGGCCTTTTGTCTGGTAATGTAACGAAAGACCCCCATTGTCATGCACAAGAGGGTAGAGTTAACGTTGCTGTGGAAACCTTAACTCCAAATTCCTTGACTGGTGGGCACTTTTAAAAAAAATAGCCTTCTTCCCAGATGAGGCAAGGCTACTGTTTTTGGTCTCATTCATTCCCCCAATCAGCCCCCTTCATCCCGTCTAATAAAAGTAATAAACAACCAAATGGAGTGAAAAATAACTGCCGTCCAAAGCACAGGAAGGGACTCCTTAGGTAGGATAACAGCAGCTGGCGTATTAAACGTGTGGCAAAGAGAGTCCGTTTTGTGCTCTCCCATCCCATCTGTTGACCATGCCCAATGCTACTTCATTTTATGAGAATTGGCAGTGCCGTATACTGCAAGCTGTAGGAGCACAATTTTCCTGATGAACAACAACTAAAGATTTTTTATACAAAGATAATAAGTGTGAATTCAACCCAGATCTCGTCTGTGTAATGATGTGTAGTTTTAATTGTTGAGGTTGTGATTAGGCAAGACACCAAACATCAGCGACTCCTTGGAAATGGTCACTGTTGTCATAATGAAGGAATGAGGCCCAGGCCAAAAGCAAACAACTTGTTCATTATTACAGGTCCTGATGGGGAAACAGCATGAGCCAAAGTCTCACTGACAAAATTTGCATATTTTGTGACATGTAGTGAACATATTTGCATATTATTCACATGGGTGTGTGATATATGCCGAGCAGCAGCTGATGGGCATGTTGATTCCAAAATTATGAACCCCAAAAGATGAAAAGTTGATGTTATAGTACTTGTCAAGCAACTACAATAAAGTCAAAATCATTAATAACAAAATAATAATTATTTTGAGTCTTTAAAATATGCCTGAGTGTGTGATATAAACTGCTTAGCATTTCATCTAATTTCTATAGTCATTAACAGAAATCAGCAGGAAGATAGAAATTATGCTCTTAATTGTGCTGCTAAAATAGAGGAGACTTGGAGGATCTAGGAGTGGATTTATGTGACAAGGGACCGTGCATTGTTTAGATCAGTAGGTCTTAACCTGTGGGCCGCAGACCACTAGTGGGCTGCAAGGTCGAAAATCTGGTCTGCAAGTCTCCTTCCTGTTTATTTTTTAATTTTCTTCCTTTTGTGCCACCTGCCACTCTTTCCCTGTTGCTGACCATGGCATATGTTCTGTATCAGAAACTAGAGCTGATGTGGTCTATCCAATGCAATTTTCTGAATCAGCACCCCAAACCGAATCTAAAGTTGACCAAAAACTGGTGCGTAACCCTTTTGGTACTAATGGTGGAGAGTGGCCCCTGGTCAAAGTGGCCCCTGGTCAACATGGCCACTGGTCAATGTGGTCCCTGGTCAAGGTGACCCCTGGTCACGTGGTCCCTGGTCAAAGTGGTCAAAGTGGTCTCTGGTCAAAGTGGTCCCTGGTCAAAGTGGTCTCTGGTCAAAGTAGTTCCTGGTCAAAGTGGTCCCTGGTCAAAGTGGTCTCTGGTCAAAGTCGCCTCTGGTCAAAGTGGTCCCTGGTCAACGTGGTCCCTGGTCAAAGTGGTCTCTGGTCAAGTGGTCTCTGTGGTCAAAGTGGTCTCTGGTTAAAGTGGTTCCTGGTCAAAAAAATGGTTGAGAATCACTGGTTTAGGCCCCTTCCACACAGATGAATAAAATCCCACATTTTCTGCTTTGAACTGAAATATATGGCAGTGTGGACTCAGATAACTCAGTTGAAAACAGATATTGTGGGATTTTCTGCCTTGATATTCTGGTTTATATGGCTGTGTGGAAGAGCCTTCAGATACTCAACAAGTTCTTGGTTTAGGAATTCCCTAATTATGACTTAAGCATTCTAAATGTATACAGAAGTTCAATAAGCTACAGTTTACAATATTATATTAGCAAATTGGTCAAGGTGTTGGTGGCCACATTCCTTCAAGTTGTTTTACTTAAGGTGAACTTACAAGGGATTGTCTTGGCACGATTTATTCTGAGCACATTTGCCATTGCCTTCCTTTGAGGCTGAGCCAGTGTGACTTCTCAAGGTCATTCAGTGAGTTTCTGTGGCCAAGCAGAGATTTGAACCTCAGTCTCCTGAGTTGCAGTCTAACACTGAAACTGCTATACCACATTGGCACTTGTGTTATTAGGAATATATAAGACATGTATGTACAATTAATGCTTGTGTTAATTTGCAACTGCCTTTCCCCCCCTTATCCAGCTTGGTGAGAAACCTAACACTGGTAACAGACTTCCCAGAGGTGATGTATCCTTCTCAGGCTTCCATTTGGGAAACATTTGAAAAAGTCTTCATTGCTGCTGGGGGTCTGATCAGCTACGCACCTGTATTCAAGGCCTATTTTTATCAAGCACTCCTAGAATTCTATGAAGACAATGTGCAGTACATTGAAATAAGAGTATTACTGCCTCCGGTAATTATTTTTGTTTGTTTCTTTGTTCTTATTTTAAGTAATTTTAGTCTTTACATTTACATTCAAACAACGCCTTTACATTTGTCTTTACCTTTACATATGGAACAACATTTGTGAAGGCCAATGTTTTAAGAAAAAAAACATTGTGTATGTGTTTACGTTCTGGTCGCCTATCGATTTATAGTGAATTTTGTAGGGTTTTCTTAAGCAAGGAATATTCAGAGATGGTTCGACTGCCTATTTTCCATTGGCTAGTACCTGTGGCATCAACATTTTTCTCTTAAAGTGCTCAGGAAATAAACAATATTCACAAATGGGTACAGGTCTAGTGTCTATCTCTAGTGTGTTTTGTGGTGTGTGTGTGGGTGTGGGGGGGGGGGGGGGTTCCTAGGGTCTCTCCAGCGCCCCCACTTTTCTTTTGGAATCGCCTAGTGTTCCCCCCAGCAAATAGCTTAAGATACCCTTTAGTAAAGATAGCTCAATGCTATGAATTTTTGGTATATGTATTTGGTGAGGCCCCAGCACTCTTGGGCAGAGAAGGCTGAAGACCTTGTAAAACTACAGTTCCTACGATTTGATCACATTGAACCACGGCAGCTAAAATGGTGTTAAACTTCATTAATCCTATAGTACGGATGCGCCCATAATAATTCCTCATACCACCTACATTACCTATGCAGATAGTCAGTAGGGGGCAATGTGTCCCTCCACTCCAAAAGTCATAGGAGATATTTCTGCACTTTTTATGTGTCAGGAGCAACTTGAGAAACTGCAAGTCATTCTGGTGTGAGAGAATTGGCCATCTGCAAGGACGTTGCCCAGGGGATGCCCGGGTGTTTTACCATCCTATGGGAGGCTTCTCTCATGTTTCCCACATGAGAAGCTGGAGCTGACAGATGGGAGCTCATCCCTCTCCCCAGATTGGAACCGCTGACCTTTTGGTCAGCAGTCCTGCTGGCACAAGGGTTTAACCCATTGTGATACTAGGGGCACTAAAGTAATACAATTTTATTCTGCTGTCCTACAGATACTCATCCTTTTCAGGTGGTCATGTCTTCTTTTTTTTAAAAAATACAACTAATTAATAATGTTTAAACTACAACATTTCTAGAGCTTGGTATTGCTCTGATTATTTTCTGTTGCCTCAAAACAGTTGCTGTTTTGAATTCAAGGTTCATGGAGGTCTTTTTGCAGCCCTCCTATAGAGCTGTAGATCAATTGTAGATAAACCTCTTTCCTACACAAAATATCAACTGCATGTGCAGCATGATCTGGAAGTAAGTTCTATTAAGTTCTACCAACTTTTAATATTAACTGGCCAATGTTCACAGTGGCATGCAATATTTAAAAAGGAAAGTCAACTTCCTTGTGCCACTCCTTTTATTCTTCCACAGCAGTGTTTACGCAATATAAATTACAGAGATTATTTCAATGGAATCTGTAAAGAAAGAGTGAGTTGTGAGCAGGGGCGGCTCGTCCATTACGCGAAGTAAGCGGTCGCAGAACACTTTTTTTTGCCAGGGGCGCAGAGGCGCCTCTGTAAATGCCCCTCGACTGCCACTTGAGGAGCGCCCCCTCAGCTCACAACAGCCCTAGCAGTCCGGGGGGAGCCTCGGCTTTCTTGCCTCGCTGCTGGGCGATCCTCTTTCCAAAGGGGCTGGGCCCTTGAGGCTCGCCTCGCCCCTCTCATTCCTGCTCCACCTGGCCACCGGGTGCATGAGCAGAGCCGGCACTCAATTGTTCTCCACATTCGATCCCTTCCCCATGACCGGCTCCCTTTCCCGATCCCCCGGCTCTCCACCCGCCTCCTCTCCTCTCCCCAATCCGCGGGTGGGCCAAGGGGCGGAGCCACCGCGCCTGGCCCGCTTCGGGTCCGGAGGCATGTCTGAAGACCCCAGCGTGCGCACCAAAAGTCGCCTCTTCTCCTGACTTTCTCTTCAGCCATTGGGACCAAGAGAGAGAGAGAGAGAGAGAGAGAGAGCCCCTCCGGCTGGAGGTATCTCCCACCTCCGCTCCCTCCTTTGTTTTTGCCTACCTTCAGGAAAGGTGGGCATCTCCACCTCTCTCTCTCTCTCTCTCTCTCGGTCCCAATGGCTGAGGAGAAAGTCAGGAGAAGAGGTGACTTTTGGTGCACACGCCGGGGTCTTCAGGCACGCCTCCGGACCCAAAGCGGGCCAGGCAAGGGAGCAAATGCGGCAAGTGTAGTTACTGGGCTGTATAGTTCACCTACAATCAAAGAGCATTCTGAACTCCACCAATGATGGAATTGAACCAAATATGGCACACAGAACTCCCACGACGAACAGAAAATATATATCAATGATTGGTTGGGGGGGGGGGGCCAAAATACTGTTTGCTTACCGTTGAAAATTACCTAGGGCCGGCCATGTTCTAGAAGCATTCTCTCCTGACGTTTCACCTGCATCTATGGCAGGCATGCTCAGAGGTTGTGAGGTCTGTTGGAAACTAGGAAAAATGGATTTATATATCTGTGGAATGTCCAGGGTGGAAGAAAGAACTCTTGTCTGTTGGAGGTAGGTGTAACTGTTTCAATTGGCCACCTGGTTTAGCATTTAATGGCTTAGGAGTTTCAAGGTGTGGCTTCTTACTGCCTCAGGGAATCCTTTGTTGGGAGATGATTAGCTGGCCCTGATTGTTTTTTGTCTGGAATTCCCATTTTTTTGAGTGTTGTTCTTTATTTACTGTTAATGATTCTAGAGCTTTTTTACTTCTGGTAGCCAGATTTTGTTCATCTTCATGGTTTCCTCCTTTCTGTTGAAATTGTCCACATGCTTGTAGAATTCAATGGCTTCTCTGTGTAGCCTGCATGGCAGTTGTTAGAGTGGTCCAGTGTAAACAAAGAGTTCCTTGTGACTCATGCTTGTTATCCTTTTTGTCTTTAGGGCACATCAATCTTTTACTTGAATTTATCTTTGTGCGTGCTTGTTTTGTCCACAGGTATATGAGTTGGATGGAAGCACACATGACAAATTTTGGTCTGTGGCAGCTTATAAAGATGTGACCAAGCAGTTTGTAAAGGACCACCCTGATTTCATGGGTGCAAAGATTATATACACAACACACAGGTAAGATACATCTTTGCCATCAGGGGCAATACGATATAATAATGTATTGTCAAAGGCTTTCATGGCTGGAATCACTGGGTTGTTGTAGGTTTTTTCGGGCTATAAGGCCATGTTCTAGAGGCATTCTCTCCTGACGTTTCACCTGCATCTATGGCAAGCATCCTCAGAGGTTGTGAGGTCTGTTGGAAACTAGGAAAATTGGGTTCATGTATCTGTGGAAAGTCCAGGGTGGGAGAAAGAACTCTTGTTTGTTGGAGCTAGGTGTGAATGTTTCACTTGGCCACCTTTATTAGCATTTGATGTCCTGACAGTTTTTAAGTGTGGCTTGTTAGTGCCTGGGGGAGTCCTTTGTTGAGAGGGTTCAACAATACATTAATACAATCAATTTCAAAGCAGTTAATCTGCATTCTGAAAATGGATTATATAATAGTTTAGATGGGTCCTCGATGGATAGGAGTGTCACAGCTCAGGATAGATTCACCTTGCTCAAGACACCACCACACACCAAGGCTGTAGGTTTTGTAGTTTATTGAGAAAAAGCAAAATCAAAACAGAAATAAAGTTGCAAAAGTTCAATAGGCAAAAGAGAGTCTTAAATGCAAAGGCAAAGTTCCCAAGATCTAAAGACAAATAACATGAAGCATAGTCCTTTAACATTGGTTAAACAAGAGTCCATGGCAGCAAAACAAAGTCTCCAAAAATCAGGATCAAAACCAAAGTCCCAAAGAGCCAGAAGCTTTCCCCAAAAGCCAAGGTATTTCCACAGAAGTTAACAGGGTATAAGCAACATTGCACTGACAAAGAATGCCCTTCGACCAGATCATTAAATATGTTCTCCCAACATGAAAGCATTACGTTGACCTCTAGCTTCACGTTTGTTGGCAAGGTGTGCGCTTCTGCGAACTCTTAATTGCAAACGGTCCTGTCTAATCAAATCTCCACTATCTTCAAGGCCAGATAGCTCATTATCCTGGCTCTGCTGGGCCTGGTCACCCTGGGAACCAAGAGGCCCTGAGCTCTCAGAAGGAGCCTCCACCTGCAGCTGTGAAGTTTCACTATCTTTATCTAAAGCCACATTCCTTTCTCTGGGGAACAGAAATGCCGTCTCTTCTTCAGAATCAACACTATCTGCCTCAATAACGGAACATGTTCAGAAATCTGTAACCCATCATCCTCCTCATCCTGAGGAAACTCAGGCTCAGAAAGCGCAGGTTCAGACTGAGCCACAACAAGGAGATTCTGTGAATTGTAATCCAAAGAAGTAATTTTCTCGCAACCTCTGAGGATGCTTGCCATAGATGCAGGTGAAACGTCAGAAGAGAATGCCTCTAGAGCATGGCCATATAGCCCGAAAAAACCTACAACAACCCAATCAACATCATCATCACCATCATCATCATCATTATCATCATCATCATCATCATCATCTTTATTTTTAACCCGCCCTCCCTCATGCACGATGTCTGGAAAGAAGGGAGCATAAGCAGCTGGGGGGAGGAAAAGACTTGAGTCTGTTAGGAATTGTGAGAGTTCAAGTCCAAAACACCAGGAGGGCCAAAGTTTGCCCAGGTCTGATATAAGGCAATGAGTGCACATCTATACTGTATTTGGTGCTAAAATGATTTCTATTTCTACACCTTTAAGGAATACATTTTACACCTGACATCTATAGAGACTGGTTCAGAGCACAGAAGAGACAATGCCTGTTTGGGTTCTCTCCCCCTGCACCTTGTGTTCTTACTTTTTAAAATTAATTTTCAGAAAACAGACTGTCCATCAGATTAAGAAAGCTGTCTCTACAGCCATTGCACTGAGAACTAAGTTCCCGAAAATTGTGGCTGGATTTGATTTGGTGAGCTCTTTTATTTCTTGGTTGTTCTTGTATTTTATGTTCCAAGGATTGCAGGGAGCAAGGAAATAATATTTTCTAATGAAATAGAAGTTTTCTTGCCTCTTTCTTTTTTTGTGTCAGGAGTGACTTGAGAAATTGCAAGTTGCTTCTGGTGTGAGAGAACTGGCCGTCTGCAAGAACGTTGCCCAGGGGATGCCTGGATGATTTGATGTTTTTATCATCCTTGTGGGAGGTTTCTCTCATGTCCCTGCATGATGAGCTGGAGATGATAGTCCGCCTCTCCCCGGATTCGAACCTGCGACCCATCGATGTTCAATCCTGCCGGCACAGGGGTTTAACCCACTGCGCCACCGGGGGCTCCACTTTATAGTTTCCACTATGATAGTTTCTAGGGCTGGGCGGTTTCGTTCGTTAATTTCGTAATTCGTTAATAATTCGTTATTTTTTGGGTAAATGAAGCGATAACAAACCATCCAGGAGCAACTAAAAAACGAAACGAATTTTTAAAGCTATTTCGTAATTGTTTTGTTATTGTTTCGTTATTATTTCCGTATGTGTCTGGTGCAAGTTTTATAGTTGTTTCCCTCCCCTCTCCCTGGTTGCAAGCGGTCGGCATTTACCCCACTTCCGGGTCCCTGGCCTCTGCTTAAGTGGATCAAATTCTCCTCTCCTCCTGTCGTCACCTCACCTCGTTCCTCACTCTGGCCTGCGTGCATTGGGCAAAGAGACACAGCAGTGCAGCACTCAGAGACCTGCCTGTTGCCTGCCTAACCTCTTTCCTTCTCCAGGTTAAAACTATTATATTAATTATATTTATTATTATTATTATTATTATTAAGAATGGATGGCCATCTTTCAGTACTGCTTTCACTGTCCCTTACATTCACGAAGGCAGAAAGTGGTTTGTTATTATTATTATTATTATTATTATTATTATTGAGAAGAAGCATTGTCAAACCAGAATAGAGATCTCACCCACCCTCCTCTCTCTCTCCTTCCCCCCCTTTCCTTCTCCAGGTTAAAACTATTATATTAATTATATTTATTATTATTTATTATTATTATTAAGAATGGATGGCCATCTTTCAGTACTGCTTTGACTGTCCCTTACATTCACGAAGGCAGAAAGTGGTTTGTTTCACCCCTCCTCTCTCTCTCTTTCCCCCCTCTTTCCTTCTCCGAGGTTAAAACTATTATTTAAAACTATTATTTTTACGTCGCGCAACCGCGTCCGCCATTTTAACGAATTGATTCGTTACATTTACGAAATTTCGTAAATATCGAACTTTTTAAAGGGAAAATTTTGTAATTATTTTAAATATCGAAACAAAAAAAAACCCCAAATACAAATCGATTTTAGAAACAAATTTTTCCGTTGTTACCCAGGCCTAATATTCTGGAACACTATCATATGGATGTCTTATATGGGAACATAACTTTTAATTGTAACAGGTGAACCTCTGATACAATGTATAGAACAGAATACAACGGATGTGTAGAACTTGAACAATTATAAAGTGAGAAAAGATATCACAAACTGCAAGAGCTATAACGAATACACAAGTTCTCCAGAGCCATGATTCTCTATAGATTGGTCCCCTCAGGATTAATCTAGACAAGTTGTTCTCAACCTTTCTAATGCCATAACCCATTAATACAGTTACTCATGTTGTGCTGACCCCAACCATAACATTATTTTCGTTGCTACTTCATAACTGTAAATTTGCTACTCTTATGAATAGTAATGTAAATATCTGATATGCAGGATGTATTTTCATTCACTGGACCAAATTTGGCACAAATACCCAATACGCCCAAATTTGAATACTGGTGGGATTGGGGGGGGATTGATTTTGTCATTTGGGAGTTGTAGTTGCTGGGATTTATAGTTCACCTACAATCAAAGAGCATTCTGAACTCCACCTGAAAGGGTTAACAGAACTTAGGCACACAGAACTTCCATGACCAAAAGAAAATACTGGAAGGGTTTGGTGGGCATTGACCTTGAGTTTTAGAGTTGTAGTTCACCTACATCCAGGGAGCACTGTGGACTCAGCCAATGATGGATCTGGACCAAACTTGGCACGGAGACCCAACATGGCCAAATGTGGACACTGGTGGAGTTTAGGGGAAATAGACCTTGAGATTTGGGAGTTGTAGTTGTCAAACAGACTCAAGGCTCAACTGTCATTCCTCAACTGTCATCCTGTTTAAGCTGCATTCTAAACAGTCACTGAACCAGCCACATGGTCTACAGCCCCTCCCACCGCCTCAAGTACATAGAGCTAAGAAAACTTCAAACCAAAGAAGACATGTTGTTGTTGTTCATTCGTTCAGTCGTCTCCGACTCTTCGTGACCTCATGGACCAGCCCACGCCAGAGCTCCCTGTCGGCCGTCACCACCCCCAGCTCCTTCAAGGTCAGTCAAGTCACTTCAAGGATGCCATCCATCCATCTTGCCCTTGGTCGGCCCCTCTTCCTTTTGCCTTCCACTTTCCCCAGCATAATTGTCTTCTCTAGGCTTTGCTGTCTCCTCATGATGTGGCCAAAGTACTTCAACTTTGTCTCTAGTATCCTTCCCTCCAGTGAGCAGTCGGGCTTTATTTCCTGGAGGATGGACTGGTTGGATCTTCTCGCAGTCCAAGGCACTCTCAGAACTTTCCTCCAACACCACAGTTCAAAAGCATCTATCTTCCTTCGCTCAGCCTTCCCTAAGGTCCAGCTCTCACATCCGTAGGTTACTACAGGGAATACATACACTCCAGGAAATAAACGACATATTATAAACAGACAAAACATTAAATAGAGTAGGCTTGAGAACGTTGCTATCTCCAACAGATCTTATAGCCCAATCTTATCCATACTTAATGTGTAGGGCTTGATGGCAGTTAAGTTGCTACTGGGGTGTTAGTACAGGACTGCCACACAAAGGTCCTTCTGAAAGTCAGTTTAAGTGATTTTTGTGTTGTGCAACTCTATCAGATTCATCTGGCTAGTTTGGACAAATCTATTGTATATCACTAAAAACTGTATATCACTTTTTATGCGATTCCTCTTGAGGCAGTTCACAGAATAAAGGTTTAAAACAATAAAATATACAGTTAATTAAACAGCATTGAAAATAATGATAGCAGTATCATAGTATAAACTTTTTTTTATTCTGCTAAAAGTAATTAAGATTAAAGCCTATGAATGGGAGTGCTCACTTAATATGTATATATGCATGTGGTTACTTGTTGACTTATAGTGACCCCATGAATTTAAAAGTTTTTTTAAACAAAAATATTTTTAAAAAAGAATTTACCGTAATATGGTTTTCTTAGGCAATGAAAAATCAGAGGTTGTATGTCATTGTCTTCTTCAATTTCCTTCGTAGGTTGGCTGGGAAGATGGAGGACACTCTCTCTGGGAATTGAAGGATGCCTTGACTTCTCCACAGGTTCTAAAATCAAAATTGCCATACTTTTTCCATGCTGGTGAGACAGGTAAACACAAAAGCTTCACCATGCTGATTTGATGGAAGGGAGGAAACTAGGAGATGAGGACTTCAATCCTATGAATCATTATTTTGACACATTATGACATGACATGACACATTAGAAAATACAATGCTACTTGGCAAAATATAAGGCTTCATCACTATTTGATGAATCATGTTGTAGAGCACCATTTTGAACACTGTTCTGATGTATACATGGAGTGCTTCTTTCTCACAGGAGCCAATGTGCTTAAACATAGAGATTGTTAAAAAGTCACAATCATAACTTTACATTGTTGTGGAATTCATGTCATGTAATTGGCATGAGTCTTAATAGTCATCATCATCATCATATAATAATAAAAAAACTTTATTTATATTCCACTCTATCTCCCCAAAGGGACTCGGGGCAGATTCCAAACATAAAAGGCAAACGATGCCCGAATACAACAACAATACATCCATATATTGTCGAAGGCTTTCATGGCTGGAATCACTACCTCACTACCTCTGAGGATGCTTGCCATAGATGCAGGTGAAACGTCAGGAGAAATGCCTCTAGAACATGGCCCTATAGCCTGAAAAAACCTACAAGAACCTAATACATCCATACTAACAAAGTTTAAATAATCCAACATATAAACACGAATTATGACTTAACAACTAAAATTAAATAAAAAACACAGCCTGTTATAACAGACATAAGACAAAACATCAAACATCAAATGGAAACAATAATTTCCCACTTCCTTGGGGCAAAACGATCATAATCATCTCCCCGAAGGGACTCGGGGTGGCTTACAAGTGGGACCAAGCCCAGTAAATAACAAGTCAACCAATGAAACACACTTAAAAACACAATCAACACATTACAACCAATTAAACAAGTAAAACAATAGAGTATAAAAACATCATTTCAATAGATTAAAAACCAATCTTTATAACTAAAATCAGATTATAATGAGCATATCAGGGTTGGAGAGGGCAGGGGCTGGGCATGGGCTTGTGTAAAAATAGATTATAGGGCCAGGGCTGGGGTAAAGTGCTGAGTTCCATCTGGCAGTTAACTAGGACCAAGCAATCATAGACTGGGCCTAATCATTTGCAAATGCACATTGGAATATTCATGTTTTAAGTAGGCGCTAGCCTAATCTCCTTGGGCAGAGAGTTCCAGAGCCAGGGAGCCACCACCGAGAAGGTCCTCTCTCTCGTCCCCACCAATCAAACTTGTGACAGTGGCGGGAGCAAGAGAAGGGCCTCCCCGACAGATCTTAGGGTCTGCACCAGTTAACAATGGAAAATGCGCAAAGATAGGCAGAACCTGAACCATTTAGGGATTTGTAGGTGATAACCTGCACCTTGAATTGGGACCGGAAACTTATTGGCAACCAATGGAGCTATTTTAATAGGATTGTGTTGTCCGCTCCCTTACGTTGCTGATAAATCAGATTGTGATGTAGTTAGGACCTTTTAAAGGAACCTTTAAGTACTAAGTAAGTGCATTCTTCATTATCTTTTCTCTAGGATAAAGAAAGGCTTAAGTCAGGGGTCCGCAAACCTTTTAAGCCAAGGGCTGGTTCACAGTCCCTCCAATTGTTGGGGGGCCAGACTACAATTTGAAGAAAACATGAACAAATTCTTATGCACATTACACATACCTTATTTGTAGGGCAAAAAAACATGAAAGAACAATGTAGAATTTGAAATGAAGAATACTTTTAACCAACATAAACTTACTAGCAGTTCAATGGGAAGTGAGGGCTTGCTTTTTGCTGATGAGATAATCAAGTTAATTAGAATTGTTGTTGTTGTGTGTCTTCAAGTTATTTTAGAGCAGTGGTTCTCAACTTGTGGTCTCCAGATGTTTTGGCCTTCAACTCCCAGAAATCCTAACAGCTGGTAAACTGGCTGGGATTGCTGGGAGTTGTAGGCCAAAACACCTGGGGACCCACAGGCTGAGAACCACTGCTTTAGAGCGACCCTAAGTCTCAAGTTTAGGGCAGAGGTCAGGTAAATGACCCTTGGAGGGCTGCATCCAGCCAATGGACCTTAGTTTGGGGATCCCTGGCTTAAGTGATTCTCTTTTAGACTGTATTTCTATTGCATGAAATAACTTACTTTAGGGTTCATTCATATATATTTCATAGAATCAAAGAGTTGGAAGAGACCTCATGGGCCATCCAGTCCAACCCCCTGCCAAGAAGCAGGAATATTGCATTCAAATCACCCCTGACAGATGGCCATCCAGCCTCTGTTTAAAAGCTTCCAAAGAAGGAGCCTCCACCACACTCCGGGGCAGAGAGTTCCACTGCTGAACGGCTCTCACAGTCAGGAAGTTCTTCCTAATGTTCAGATGGAATCTCCTCTCGTGTAGTTTGAAGCCATTGTTCCGTGTCCTAGTCTCCAAGGAAGCAGAAAACAAGCTTGCTCCCTCCTCCCTGTGCTATATATATTTGGTAGTATCATAATGCCTATTTGGTGATTATATAATCATGGCAGTATTCTCTGTATCATTCAGACTGGGAGGGCACCTCTGTCGATAAAAATGTATTGGATGCTCTGCTTCTGAATACCAGCCGAATTGGCCATGGCTTTGCCCTTGCAAAACACCCAGCAGCTAAGAATTTGGCTATGAAGATGGATATACCTATAGAAGTATGCCCTATCTCTAACCAGGTAATGTTCAAGTAGAAGGAAAACTACAGATAGCTCTGAAATCTGTTTTTATCATGCCAAACAAGGAGGGGGATTTGATGAAACAGAAGACATAAAATGGAATGATTTTTTTTACTGCAGTTCAAGCAGATGAACAAAACTGTCCCTTAGGATTTGCATGTATAGGATAAGCATGGAATCCGTACCAGTGCTATCAGAGAGGGAATTTTCTAGTTCCAATGCCTGCTCTAAAATATTTCAGGATGCTATGACACATGTGTCTTTGATACACTAATTTTATTGGATGCTCTCCAGATCTTGCATTTTCTGCTCCAGTAGGTGCTATTGTTGTGGCCGAGGTGCAGGCTAAAGCGCTGGCTCTTTTGTGCAGTTTCTGAGAAGGTTGTGATGGCAGTGGCGGCAGCTGGGACCTGCTGCCGGCCTGTTTCCCCCCACTGTTTTTTCTTATGTCCAGATTGTTCCTCTGTCCTCCTGGGAGTGTCTTTAAATTCTTCCATTTCATGCATGACAATAACACTAGCCGTGCTACATAATTTCCAGGCCAGCTTTCTTAACTCCAGAAGTGCTGCAGAGCTGCACACATACTATTGCCCTCTCCCCATTGATTTGAGAAAAATCTCCACTATACACAGAGTAGCAGCAAACGTGCCTAAGAGCTGCTTGCACACAGATCTCCTGGTGATAAAAATACTTAATTTGGACTGCGCTGTGTTTAATAATTCTGCACTCTGAAGAATTCTTGGCTATCTGGCTGGCTAGCTCTACAATTCAAAATATTAAATGCTTGAGTACAGATTTTTATTTATTTATTTATTTATTTGGCAGTTTTGTATACCGGTCTTCTCACCTCCGTTCGAGGGACTCAGGCCGGTTTCCAACATCAATATTACAGACAGTCATTAAAACATTCATATTCTAAATCACACTAAAACATTAAAATAGCAAAATACAATCATATAATTACAGTAGGTCAGTCGTCATCAAAAATCATTATTTGTCGTCATCCATCCATATCACAGGATCATGGCTCATTCATCAAATGCCAACCCCCAAAGCCAAGTTTTCACCTGTTTCCTGAACGTTAAGATAGAAGGGGCAGTTCTGATCTCCAGTGGAAGGGAGTTCCAGAGTCGAGGGGCCACCACCGAGAAGGCCCTGTCTCTCGTCCCCACCAGCCGCGCCTGTGAGGCCGGTGGGATCGAGAGCAGGGCCCCTCCAGACGATCTTAGCAATCTTGATGGTTCATAGGGGAGGATACGTTCGGATACGTTTTGGTTCATAGGGGAGGATACATTTTTGACATAATGGGTATTAATCATTCTCTCTGCTATGTTTTTCAAGGTACTGATGCTAGTATCAGATCTGAGGAACCATCCTGCTTCACTTCTAATGTCAGAGGGTCAACCCATTGTCGTTTCCTCTGATGATCCATCGATCTTTGGTGCAAAGGGGCTGTCGTATGACTTCTATGAAATGTTTATGGGGATTGGAGGGATGGATGCTGATCTGAGGACTTTGAAACAATTGGCATTGAACTCTCTAAAGTAAGTATTCTCTTTTGCATTCATTCATACACACACACACATTTCCAAAATAGCTCCAGCTGGACCTATAGATATTCTCTTCTGAATATACTTCCATAGGATCAGGCTGGATGTGAGTTTAGGGTTTGATGTATAAGCATACCTATCTACAATACCTTTCCTCTACTGCTATAAAGGATAGTGCTGTGGATAGTACTGCAGACCTCATAATGATTTTAGAAAAAAGGGCCCTTATATAATGTGGCTGGTTTTTAAATTATTGTTTTTATGGGTTTCCATTTTATTTTTTTAATTAATATAATCAATTTTTTAAAAAAGGACATTGTGAATTTTAATCATATTAGTTTTAACCACTGCAAGCCATTTTGAGTCTTGAATTGAGAGAAAGTCATTAAATATGTCCTCCTCCTCCTCCTTCTCCATTTGTTCTCTAAAAGCCATCAATCCCAACCGCTGTCCGTGTTTGCTGGGATACTTATGGCAAGTCTACATAACCTGAATTCCACGTATCTGTGTGAAAAGTGTGAATCCTTACTGGGCCAACTAGCTTTACCTTCAGGTCAGGGAACTGACCCTTTTCCAACAAGCCTTGTTGGACCTTCTACATGACATGCTCCCCATTCATTGTAATATTTATTAAAACAAATTGGGCTCTGAGATGATGTCTGCTGGGTCCCTACCTCCAACGTTGCATGCTTGCTCAGGTATTAAGAACTTGGTCTAGTTCCCCAGCTGCTCCTGTTGATTAATTATATGCCAGTATTTCTCAACCTGGGGGTCGGGACCCCTGGGGGGTTGCGAGGGGGTGTCAAAGGTGTCTCCAGAGACTGTTAGAAAACACAGTATTTTCTATTGGTCATGGGGTTTCTGTGTGGAAAGTTTGGCCCAATTCGATCATTGGCACAGTTCAGAATGCTCTTTGACTGTAGGTGAACTATAAATCCCAACAACTACAACTACCAATTGTCAAGATCTATTTTCCCCAAACTCCATCAGTGTTCACATTTGGACATATTGAATATTCCTGCCAAGTTTGGTCCAGATCCATCATTATTTGAGTCCACAGTGCTCTCTGGATGTAGGTGAACGATAACCCCAATACTCAAGGTCTATGCCCACCAAACCCTTTCAGTATTTTCTGTTGGTCATGGGAGTTCTGTGTGCCAAGTTTGGTTCAATTCCATCATTGGTGGGGTTCAGAATGCTCTTTGATTGTAGGTGAACTATAAATCACAGCAACTACAATTCCCAAATTACAAAATCAATCCCCCAACCCCACCAGTATTCAAATATGTACATATCAGGTATTTGTGCCAAATTTGGTCCAGTGAATGAAAATATATCCTGCATATCTGATATTTACATTATGATTCATAACAGTACCAAAATTAGAATTATGAAGTGACCATAGCATTAGGAACAGTATTAAGGGGTCATGGCATTAAATAGGTTGAGAACTACTGTTCTTATGCTGTGAAAGCTTACATATGAAGCCAAGGATATTTAGAGTTCGTTGCTGCTTTGTTATCTTTTCTTAGATGTCATGAGCAAACTGTAACCAATCAACTAATGCCAAGGAAAATGGCAAAGAACCCATCAGATAGTGACATGCTATTAGTTAGAAAGCTTTAAAAACACTTGTAAACCTGTAGATGGTGTGCTTGCTTTGCAGATGATTGTTAAGCACCCTCTGCACAGATTGTGAATAAAACCTTTTTTTAAATCATCCAAACCAGTGCGTTAATTGACTACAGAGCACCAGGCATGAATCCACTGTCATTTTGGGAGTCAACACTGCATCCAGTGCAGTATGGAGTTAGCTTATTGAATTTTAATGCTCTGCTTTTTACAGATTTTTAATGTTGCTGTTCTGTTCCTGAAGGGCCTTTTGCTACCCTTTTAAATTTGATCCTTTTTTTCCCTTCACAGTTACAGCGCTTTGCTACCTAAGGAGAGAGATAAAGCTCTGAAGATTTGGCAAAAAAAGTGGGACCAGTTTGTCGCTGAGGTCTCTAAGTAGTGCCAGACAATCTTGAGACTACAGCAAACGAAGGCACAGCAACAATCTTTCAACCTGATACTTCGATAAGAAGATTGCTAAAAGCAAGAGACTCCCAGACATTTTCTCCAATGCGTTCCTAACCAGGCTCCTTGTCATACAGCAGTGGTTCCCAACCTGTGGTCCGTGGACCGCCTGTGGTCCCCAAGAACTCTCCCCAAGAACCGGGGAGAGGCTGACTACCCATGAAAGGCGCGAAAAGCCACCTGACTGCTGCTTCTCCTCCCCCTGAGTGGAGCCTTTCCATGTGGCACCTGGAAGTGGGGGTGCTGTGGTGTCTTCACTTTTAGGCCTGTTCCTGGAGTTATTTGGGGTGCTGATTCAGAACATTGCATTGGAGAGACCAAAGCTCTAGATTAGAGTCTTGCTTATCCAACATAACGGGCCATCAGAAAATTGAATAAGCAAAAATGTTGGATAATAAGGAGGAATTAAGGAAAAGCTTATTAAACGTCAATTTGCATTAAAGGTAAAGGTTTTCCCCTGGCATTAAGTCTAGTCGTGTTCGACTTTGGGGGTTGTGCTCATCTTCATTTCTAAGCCAAAGAGACAGCGTTGTTTGTAGACACCTACAAGGTCATGTGGTCAGCATGACTGCATGAAGTGCTGTTACCTTCCGGCCGGAGCTGTACCTATTGATCTACTCATATTTGCGTGTTTGCAAACTGCTAGGTTGGCAGAAGCTGGGGCAAACAGCGAGAGCTCATGCCACTTCCTGGATTTTAACTGCCGACCTTTCGGTAAGCAAGTTCAGCAGCTCCGTGGTTTAACCCACTGTGCCACCATTACGTTATGATTTTATTAATCAAGCACCAAAACATCATGTTTTACAACAAATCGACGGAATAAGCAGTTCAATACACGGTAATGTTATGTAGTAATTACTGTATTTACGAATTTAGCACCAAAACATCACAATGTATTGAAACAGCTGTGGATCCGGATGGGAGGCAGACTACGTTGGATAATACAGAACGTCGGATGAGCAAAGGTTGGATAAGTGAAACTCTACTGTATTAAATATGGTTTTCTGTGGGCGAACATATGGTGACTACTGGATAGCATATGTTCTGTATCAGAAACTAGAGCTGATGTGGTCTATCCCATGCAATTTTTTGAATCTGCACCTCAAATAACCAAATCAAATCTAAAGTTGACCAAAAACTGATTCGTAACCCTTTTGGTACTAATGTTGACCATTCTCGTCAAAGTGGTCTCTGGTCAAAAAAGGTTGGGAACCACTGGTATACAGAGACCCTTAGGAAACTGAAATTGGAAGGATGACGACTAGAACACAGATGGCAAAACACCCGATTTGTATGCAACAAGACACGATATAGTGGACATCTTTGTTCCTATAAGTTGACAATACTTGCAGGAAGAAAGTTTTCTTCTCTGCACATATAGTCTCTCTGGATTCCAGCTGAGTTGTTCAGTGTGGTGAGAGGTTTAACTTAGGAACCTTCCGCTCTAAACTTGGCTCTACAGCAGGGGTCCTCAAATTAAGGCCCAGGGGCTGGATCATTTACCCGGCCCACGCTCAGGGTCAACCTAAGGTCATTTACCCGGCCCACGCTCTGGGTCAACCTAAGTCTGAAATGACTTGAAAGCACACAACAACAACAATCCTATCCCATCTGCCAAAAGCAGGCCCACACATCCCATTGAAATACGAATAAGTTTATATTTGTTAAAATTGTTCTTCATTTTAATTATTGTATTGTTTTAAAGTGTTTTTTTGCACTGCAAATAAGATATGTGCAGTGTGCATAGGAATTCATTCATGTTTTTTTCAAATTATAATCCAGCCCTCCAACAGTTTGAGGGACTGTGACCTGGCCCTCTGTTTAAAATGTTCGATGACCCCTGCTCTACAGCCTTCAGTGGCTCACTTTGTTGTCTTTCTGAACCATATCATAGATAAAATCTTTTGCATAATAGCAAACTAAGATGCTGTCATTGGAGCATTTTTATCTTTGTCCTTTGTTTTTAGGATATGTATTTTTATGATCCTTTATTTTATCCATGTATTTTAACAATGTTATTCCCATCCTTAAGCTGTGAGGAGAGGCGGATAACAAATAATTGTGATTTTACTGTCCCTTGTCCATTTTGTTTCCTCAACAAAGAACTCTTTTAATTATGCTGCAAATTCTCAGAGTGATTGAAGTCAAAATACACTCCTTAAAGATGGAAGTAAGCATGCTTGAACTCCATCAATTGTTGGAGTCCTCCAAGGCTCCTTCTACACTGCTGCATAATCCAGACTTATCAAAGCAGATATTCCACATTATCTGCTTTGCACTGGATTATCTGATTATCTGGATTATCTGAGTTTACACTTCTTCAAAGCAGGTAATCTGGATTTTATTTTATATGGCAGTGTGGAAGGGCCCCTAAACTCTTCTTGTCACCTATGGATCATAATGTAAACTAAACATTGGCTTCAATTACTAATGGCATGTGATTGTACTTTATGTGCCATAGCAGTTGAGAGGAAAGCCAGAAACCTCTTGCTCAGGTTGGAATGGCATTACATACTCAGGTTTGTGGTGCTGATTACTAGTTATCAATGTTTTAAGATACATCCTGTATGTAGTCAGTAATCCTTTGCTATGTGAATTTTTAAATTATTATTATTATTTCTAAAATATCAAGAATATTATCAGCAAAATCAGTAAATTAGCAACATTCCATTTGTTAACAACAATCAAAAGTTACACAAATTGGTTTTCAACTGTTTCAAACCTTAAACCCATACCAGCAAAGAGAGATATGCTATATCAACAAATACAGTCACTTGGAGGACAGTCTTGTGTAGTATAAACCTGTCTGGATATTAAGATCTTTAGGGCAGATTCTTCTCTGTGCCATCAAAGGTCTAAAAGCAACATTAGGAACAGAAATGCAAAAGGCAGGTTTGTTGGTTTGTATTTTTTCTGCTTTATAAAATATTGTTTGTAATCTAATAAAGATGGTTACTTGCTTTTGGTATTTGTTTTTGGGATATTATTAGAACGTCATGACAAAGAGAAATAAATAACAACATGAGTATGGGGAGAGTGTGGATGAGCTCCCTCTGTCAGATCCAGCTCCCCATGTGGGGTAATGAGAGAAGCCTCCCACAAGGATGGTAAAACATCAAAACATCTGAGTGCCCCCTGGGCAACGTCCTTGCAGACAGTCAATTCTCTCACACCAGAAGCGACTTGCAGTTTCTCAAGTCGCTCCTGACACACACGCAAAATAACCTCAAATATAATTACATAGAATATACTGATCAGCTGAAATACAAACCATGTTTGAGTCCAGAAATTAAATACTTGATCCAAATCAATGTTCTTAAAATTCTGTTTCATTGACATGCATTCATTGCTTAAAGAATACTTCAAAACAAAGATATTTTAATTAAAATATTAACCTTGCCATATTGTTTATTTTTCATGTGGCTACTCTAGAAAAATGTAGTGTGTGTAAGTTGTAGTGATAACTGTAATGCATTATTACACAAATAATGCCCTATTCAGCATCATTGTTCCCTACATCCAATCAAAATGTGGAATGCAAATTAGCGGGCATGGCGGGAAGAGGAATGACTGGTTCACAAGTTAAACTAGCATGGAAGGGGAGACTGAGCTAAATCCAAAGGTAAGAAGGAGCCACAATTATATTCCCAATGGGAGGCATAACACACGGAGCTTGTGGAACAATTAGGAGGTGCCTCTTATCACCCAATTGATCTGTGAATCAACACTGAGATGGATATGGACTGTCAAGTGACAGAGAATTGGAGAGCAAGACTGAGAACAAGGTGGATGAGAAAGTTTTTGTAGCTGTCCTTCCACATTTGCAGTTTTGATTTTTGCGGACTTGATTACATTGCTGAACACACAATTCGGTGCCTCAAATATAATACCTGTTTCTGGGTACATTTGACCTGCTGATTCCATAAATGCCACTAGTTTCCCCTTATCTGCTCCAGTTTTTGAGATACAGAATATATGTCATATGCCATTTGCTCACCCATAGAAAACCATGATAACTATATCTATGAAACTAGAGCTGGTTCAATTCAATTTTCTGAATCAGTGCCCAAATTTTCTGAATCAACCCCAGGGACTGGCCTAAAAAACAAGATATCAAGAAAAAAATGTGGTTGTTGGGCTGTGTTATTCATAGATTTGATTAAAATGTTATCTCTAGAAACCCCTAGGCCTCTGGCTCCCAATGTAGGACACATGCCCCACAGGGAGACAATTTGATTTTTAGGGGAGGCAATTCGTGAATGGGTTATTAATGGTCATCCCCCCCCCCATTTCTTATGGTAATAAATATACTACATATGGTAAATAAATATATTGTGAATAAGGCCCCTAGACATATCAGTAACCATCAACAAATGACGTCAACCAATATCAGAAAACCCACAAGGTGAAGTTTTGGACCTTGCTTCATTGCCTATGTCTCTTTACGACCAAAAAAATGCCATCAAATTACTAATAAAAAAGATACAAAAATTATGGGAACATAATTTAGAGTTTTATAACTGTTGTTATATTTGCCTCACTTATTAAGCATGGGACTCACAACAAATGAGGAAGAACTTCCTGACTGTGAGAGCCGTTTAGCAGTGGAACTCTCTGCCCCGGAGTGTGGTGGAGGCTCCTTCTTTGGAAGCTTTTAAACAGGGGCTGGATGGCCATCTGTCAGGGGTGATTTGAATGCAATATTCCTGCTTCTTAGCAGGGGGTTGGACTGGATGGCCCATGAGGTCTCTTCCAACTCTATGATTCTATGATTCTATGAAAGTATCACACATTTCCTCTCTGATAAATTGTGGATTTGCCGAGGCATCTTCATATTTTTTTTTTAACAATTTCTTAATTCGTTCCTCAGGACCTCAGCTGTCCTTCATTTTTCTCTTTCATGGACGCCATGTTTTTTGGAAGCTTGTTTAGACCAAGTTAATGGCCTTTTAGACTTCCTCCAAGTGAATAAGGAGTTCACTTTTTGAATAATAATAATTATATGTCACCGGGTTTTTAGTGGGGGCATCAGGATTTTAGCAATGCTTAGGTGGGGAATGGCCAAACAAAAGGTTGGGAACTATCTAGGTCCTCCAGTGTGACCCCATGGCCACCTTCCTCACTAGGAATGTTTTTATGTTAAATGTTTTTATATTGTGAAATGCTATTTTAAATTGTAAGTTGCTCAGAGCACCTTGGTGGAGAGCAACTAATTAAGAAATAAAGTGAAGTGAAGAAGTGAAGGAATCTCTTGGTCCTCTAATGCAATTGATGACCAGCTTACAGCAGAAGTTGACCATGCTGGAAGTCCAAGAAACTCCTAGATATGTGTTCTCTCAA